TTTTGTGTGTATCAAGAATATAGATCAAGTCATCAAATGTTTAAAAAATCAATCAGGAAATTACCCTGGAGAATAGTGGTTAAATAACAATTTAAAAAAAAAGCAACTTTCGACCTTAGTAATAAAAGATCGATTTCACTAATTTCATGCTTCTGCTACTCTTTCGGATTAGATAGGGTTGCATGTTCTATGACTGTACCTTGCTAACATTGTTAAGTGTATTTGCAGCGGACCTATATTGACATTTTTGAGCGGTTTATTCGAGTTTTGTTTATCAATTACATGGTGGACTATTAGTGGCAGCCGTTTTAAATGTCCAGCCAATAACTTTCCGACATGTTAATAGTTAATAGTCATCGGCTAGCCGTTTTTGGCGGCTGTCACTTATGGTCTACTAAGTAACCTATGAGGAAAAATACAGTGGACCGCTCAAAATGTCAATATAGGTCCACTGAAATTCCGCTATAAAACGTTTTCTGGGTAGGCCCGTGCATAAGTATTTTGTGCACAGTGAGTGATATAGGATACCACAGATACAACTCAACGTTAAGATTTGCAGTACCTAAACAACAAGTACGAAATTTACTTATCTTATTTGGTTATTTTATGCCCATTTTTTTATTTGGTGTTCTTGCTTGCTATTTTGAAATATTACATTAAACAAAATGTGCAGTAATATTTTGAAAAATTCTGGCATGTAAAATTGATAACTCAACCACTATAATTTTGGATTCAATAGCAAGTTAGTTTAATAAAAGGTTTATAGTTTGAATTGTGAACATGTTTTAATTCTCAACCATGAAAATATTGTATGAAAGTAAGGTTTTAAAAGTAAATTGTCTATTATAAATTTAAGTGAAGTGATGGATCAGTGGAACAGTGAGATTTAGCGTCGTGGGGGGAAGGGGTGAGGAAGGAAAATGAGTTAGGGACAATAAGGTTTGGGGATGGAACGTTAACCCCTAGAAACATTTTTTTCGAGAATCGAACTTGTGATAAGTATATTTTATTGATGTTTTATGTGCCTTTTATCCTAACTATTAAGTACGTCTAAGACACTAAACATTCTAAAGTTTGAGATTGTTAAGTTTAATTTGGTTTTACCTGTTATTATTGGTAAATTGTCGTTAAAAAAAAAGAAACATTTAATATTATTGCAATGGTTTGGTAATTTAAAAATTTATTTACACTATATATTATACTGAGAGCGCTTTTAGAAAGAAATTAACTTTCTTGATAGTTTATACGAATTTTTTTCTGCGAGATTTTATTTCCAGCGGTTACAAAACATTCGTTTGATGTTTTAAGAACGTCGTTTTAACTTGTGACGTTTATAAGGCGTTGTATAGATGTCTTATGGACGCCTGCGCCCGCTGGGTTAAAGCAAAATGATTTATTGATAATTCAAAGTCAATAATCTCAGCAAGCTCATATTTGATTAAAATTAATGTCAATCCAAAAAAAAATAGTTTTGTTATTGTTGACCACAGATAACTTTTGATCTTTAGTCTACAGAAACTTCTCTTAACAAAAGCAGATGTAAAAGAAAGAGTCAAGTAATTTTTGTAGAGTATAGACAAGTTAGGAAAAAATTCATCTATTTCTCTAATTAGAATGCGTACGTCTTTTATTTGTACTTCAGTCATGATTGCAGGAGATATTGGTGCATACAAATCTTGGAAAGTAGGGTCGGCGCGAGTATATTTCAAGCGGGGAGGGGTGTCATTCGGGTTTTTTCCGAAAAACATTTTTAAGACATTGAAACAAATCTAAATTGCTCCACATTGGTGAAATTAGTTTATCTATAAACTTTTGTTTTTCTTCGTTACTGAAAAAAAATTTCTTCGTTAAAAAAATGTCGTTTACCGTTTGCAATATCATTGTAGTTTTATGAACATATGTTACTGTACAGTCACAGTAGTTTTTAAACACCAAACTATTTTAAAAATCCAATCCACTGTTTACATTATGATTAAAAGAGATATTTTCTTTAAACAAAATGTCTCCGTTTTGTTTTCTGCCATAATTTATGGCATAAATGCGTGCAAAGTAAAACAGGTATGTAAACGATGGTTTGTTGTTACCTATTGTTTTCTATTTCCGTTTAAAATAAACGCAGAATTTTATGAGAAACTTATATATTAGGGGGCGCCAATTCAACGGCGTAAAGAACGCGGAAGGGGAGGGGGCAGCTCGTCACTTATCCCTCCCGCCCTATGCTGAACCCACCACTGTGATGCATATTGCAAAACCATATTTATATTCTAATATTATGATTATGTTCAAAAGATCTTTAGTTATATTTCACCACCTTCGGGACCATTCATAAATGATGTTTAGTTTTTGATCGACTTTTTCGATCAAAAACTCGGAGATATTCGAAATTTTATTGTTCAATAAAAAAATGACTTCAAAGTTAATAAATTATGTACAATAATTGAAATAATGATTTTATTCTACAACACTTAAATTTGTTGTAAAATTAAACAGGTTTTTAAGG